GCTATAGAAACATGAACATGTTTTTCTCTACAGTGCCACGCACCATCAACACACACACATACACATGCATACACATGCACTCATGCACACATACACACATGCACACACATATACACATGCACACACATACACACATGCACATGCACAATACACATGCACACACACACACACACATGCACACACACACAGGAGGGAATGTACACTAGGTCCACAAAACAAAAGTCTCTCCCATCAGAGTCTTGGAAACTCCATTTCAGGCTGTGTCCATCACAAATGTTCACCCCTTTCTTTCTTCCTGGGAGGGTTCCTCTGTTTTCTGCTTCCACAGATAACCCAGCTGAGCCGGGTCTTCCTGATTCCATTGTGGGTTACAAGACTCTGAACTTGTAAGAGAAATGCAATCATCTTGCTGGTAGAGCCTATAACAAAGATGTAAAAATAAATACCTTTATTTGTAAGATTTCTATCACTGTTCTTTTTTTGAAGTCTGAAAAGATGATGAGCATCAAAAGATGCTGTCATTAGGAAACAGCTATTCACTAGGTAACAGAGGCAGAATTGGAAGTGGATTAGCTGTGCCGACAGAGTTCAGTTTTATTAAAGTGCAATCAAAGATGGGAAAAATCTGTTCTTCAAATTAAAAATGAATATATATGATTTTTAAAGATATTTAAAAATAATAGGGCAACCTGCACGCTGATGCTGCAAGCCGATTGCCGGTTAGTGGGAATGCTGTTTCTAATTAGAACCAAAGGACAAACTTCACTTAGTGTGATTAGCATGTGCAGATTCTGTAGTGCACCAATTATATGTCTGTATCTTTTCTATGGTTGTTTCAGAAAGGAAACTGATGGAATCTATCTACTCTATCTTAGTTCTTTAGCAAACTTCCTCCTCTTTTATTGTTTGGTTTTGGCTTTGTCCCTTTAATTCTGTTGCATTTGGGTTTTCAAGAAAAATTCTAGATGGGGGTCAGGTAGGTTGAGGAGAAGTGGTGAGTACAATGTAAAGAAATCCAATAAATGTATATAAAATGGATAAAGGTAGGCACATGCCTACGTAATCACACAGAGGTTCTGTAGGTATATATGTGGTAAATTTGTGGTTGGGAGAGATTTGACAATATTTTTTAACTATTAAAAAAGAAAGCCAATGAAATTGAAGATCCTTAGCACAGAGAGGGATGTGAAGTCGGGCTGATGAACAGAACACACAGGAGACAAAGGGAGAATGTGAGGACAAGGGGGAGGGGGCTTTCAGTCGAAGGAGGAGGAGCTGTGTGTTTCCCAAGCATGAAGAGAGCCTTTGAGGGCTTCACATACACTAATAACCTTAATTTTGTCTTCTCTGAAGAGGAATTGGGGCCATATGATGACAGAGAAGGGCACTGTGTTCAGATGCTCTGAAGAACAGACTCGTGTGGTTGGGAACAAGGGTCAATTAGTGACAAATGATACAATTGACCTATGATGAGAATCACGTATCCGCTAGGGGTATGAAATCAACAGTCTCGGGGCGTCTGAAATTTCTGAACTGTTGAACTATTCTGCTCCCCTGTTTTCATCTGAGAGACTAAACCCTCATCTGGAAAGGAAAATTAAGAAATTCAGAGTTTATAGTGATCCTAAGGAGAATCATGAGTGACCTGAGGACTCAGGGCTGCGGACCATCAGGAGGGGTGGGGCAGAGCACAACCCAGGGGATAGACTTCTCTTATTAGAATTAGAGAGTCAAGCGATGGGGAGATGAAGGGGGAAAAGTTTTAATTGACAGCCACAGCGCCAGAGATACTCTGGACACAATTAAAGCTATCAAGTCTAAGGAAGAGTAAAGAATTTCACAGCTGGACATTTTTTTTTTTTTTGGCATGAAATTACTAGTGCAAACGGCTGACATGAAGACATCCCTGGAATTAGAAAGTAAAAGTATGTGGTTAGGATTCACGAAGGATGTGAGTAGAACTCAGGAGGGAAGAATACAGCTCCAAATTCCCTAATCCATATCATGCACCTTTAGGCAGGAAGCAGTAGCCAGCTGTGTTCAGGCTTGCTCTGTACAGAAGTGAGCAAGGAAGGCATTCACTTTAGCCGCTCCTCCTCCTTTGTGCCACCAACTACTTACTTAACTTCATTTTATTCCTTGAAGCTAGTATAGCATCTTCTATCGGCTTCATGATGACTTCAAAATGTTCTGTTTGGCCATAATTATTAATGCTTTTTTTAAAATTCAAAATGCAACTGGAAATTCTGCCGTGCTTCTCTGTGTCTCTTCTCCTTTTGTAGAAATAACTCTGAAGCCGAAACAAAAGAGCAGAATTTACAGGACTCATAAAATGTCCATTCGCTCACAATTCTTATTTAGCAAGATGGTTAGTAATTTAGGTCCGATCCCATTACAATAAAACTGTAAGGCAGAGAACAGTTATCTTTAAGTTATTATTAAAAATGTTGTAAACTCAAATAATGTAATTGAGTCATATATTATAGCCAGGCTACACTTGGTCCGTTTTGCCATGTCAGGAATCAGTCCCATTATAAAGGGTTGCTAACACTTGCTGGAAATGAATGTCCATGGCAAGGTAGAAAGCACTTGCAAGGTGTGATAGTATCCAGCATTGATGACAGAATCTGTCAAACTGTGAATTCAGAGTAGACCCCTGACAGTGTTTCAACCATAGAAAGATAGGCAGTACACTGTAGCTCCATCAGTTTACCCTACAATGGGCAACTCTTTCTCTAAGCATCACACTCTGTGCCCTATATAACAGAAACAAATGTGAAAGTCCAGTCTATTGCAATGCATCATTGACAGGTAACTGTAAGACAGTGTGATACAACCACATAGATAGGTAGCATCATGGTGGACTTTGCGTGCAAACATGGCTGTCAATACACATCTTTTCTACCCTTTTCTGGAAGTCCTGGAAGAACAAGGCATACAGAGGACAAAGATGTAAACTCCATGAAGCCAGGAGATTCTTTCAGATATTTCTAGGGGTAGCTTGGAAGAGCCAATATGAAACAGGAGCTTCAATGGAAGAAAGAAAAAGCAGTTGCCTAGACCCCAGCAAGAGTGGGTCAGAAGGATCAGCAGATATGCAGCTGCAGAGAAGGGCGAATGTGGAGAAGGAAAAGCAATGATAGTCATTGTTTCCAGTGGTGGGAGGATGCCTGCAACCCTGCTGGACACACGCCAGTTCGTGGGAATAGGATACATGGGATGCTTGTGAAAGAACTTAAGAAGTTAGGAGTGACAGAGCAGTGGTTTTTGTGGGTATGAAAAAAAGAGGCTCTGCTTATGAAGAACTTGCTGGAATCTCACCTTCTACTCTACTTTTCCTATGGAGACACTCTGACCAAGAGCTGTCTTGGAAAACCTAACTCATAACTATGGCTTTTTTTCCCTCCAAATGGTAATTTTATTTCCTTTTTGATTGTTTTCTACATCCTCCCAACTTTCTTTTTCTTATTTTATTTTATTGTTTAATTGTTTTTATAGAGCTATATATATTTTCTCTACTTCCATTCCTTCCTATCCCCTCCCCTTCTCCCCTCTTCCATTATCCCCATGCTCCCAATTTACTCAAGAAATCTTGTCTTTTTCTACTTCCCATGTAGATTAGAGAATGAACCAGTGTAGCTCTTTTTACTTTGTAGCTTTAAAACAAGAACACATTAAAAAGCACAAATCTCTTTATCCACAGTGTTGTGTGAGCCAAAAAATAGCAAATGGTTCTTCCCTCGAGACCAGGATTTAGCAGTTGGAATGGGTGCTTTTAGCACTGAGACTTGAAGGATGAGTAGGATTTATCAGAAAGACAATATTGAACAGGACCATCCAGGCCAAAGACGTGGCTTGTCTAGTGGTGCAACAATAAAAAAGGGGGCCGTGTAAACAGGTAGGAACATTGAGTCACAGAGGCAAGAGACAGATGGGAAGTGGTCAAGATTAGGGTAGACATTAGGAAACATTATAAACCATGTGAGTGTGGTGAGTTTGCACTTACTCAATCTAAATTGAAAGTCCCTATGCCAGGCCAGGTACCAGAGACTCAGCAATGGTACCGCCTTTTAGGCTAGTGCTTCTCCATCATACATGCATATCAGAACCACTTAAAGAAGACTAAAATGATGCTACCAGTCCCCACCCTCGATAGTTAAGGCAGAATTCCATGCATAAGGATGGGGAAATTCACATAGCTTGTTCCTTGATGTGGAGTAGAGGAGGTTTGTGAGCCAGCAATGTTTAGAACCTCTAACCTGTGCGTCTGTACTAATGATCCACCAATTAAGAGAGATCCCTGGAGGAAGTGCTGTGAACAGAACAGATTCAGATTTGGAAGGGTTACCTTGAAGGTACTTGCCAAGAGCTATCTGAATGCCAGGACAATGAGTTCCAGGTCAGGCAGTCAGACCTACATAGTGGGACCCCCCCCCCCCCATCTCAGAATAAAATAGCAGCAACAAAAACAGTAGCTAAAAGCAACTGCAAAAGCTGTAGTGTCAAAGGTGCTCCTGTCTCCATAGCCTGTCTGGGGATACGGGAAGCTGCTGGGTGCTGGGCATAAGATGACATCTCAAAGGTAAGAGACATGGTAAAAGACACTTCACTCTCACCAATTCACCAAACCTCAGCCCAGTGCTCCCAGCAAGAGGGAATGATGCCTCAGGCCAGGATGCCCCCAAGCTCTGCAGACAGAGAGCTGAGTTTTCATAGAGGAGAGGCAGGAGACTATGGGATGCAGAGGCTGGACGCAGACAGGGTTTGGTCTTGAAGTTGCTCATAAGACATTAGTTTGCAGTGCTTACTAAAGCTTTGGATGCTTTTCCACCATTCAGATACCATTGTAAGAACAACTGTGCCACAGAACTGAAGGTTTATGGGTAAGGAGTGTGATCTAGATGCTTCTTTAAGAAAGGAAGAATACTGAATTTCTGTAATATGCCAACTGAAGGATTTTTTAAGTCATTAAATTTGCTTTAATTATTTTCTTCCCACAGAAGCCTCAGCTTATCGCAATGAATAGAATTTCTGAGTTCAAGTCCTCCTGCCTTTCTACAGCACCCAAGGTGAGTAATTAAAATAGGAGTCAGGATCCAGAGAGATGGCTCAACGGTTAAGAGCACTGGCTCTCTTACAAATCCAGCCTCAAGTACCCACATAGTGGATCACAGCCATCTGTGTCCCCAGTTTCACGGGATCTGACACCATCTCTTAGCCTCTATAGATACTGCATGCATGTAGTGTACAAAAAGCAGATGAGGCATTACAGACACATAAAATAAAAACAAAACTTTTGAAAATCTCAGAAATATTTTAAGTAAGCACATATAGTAATATCCAGCCATTTGTGTTAGATTTCTCATGCAAGCTTCATCAGTCACAGAATGAAGCACTAATAGGTGTTAGGTAACACTCTTTTCTCTCTAGACTGACACATATCTATTAGCAAAACTTAGGAAATAAAGCATAAATAATATTTAAATCTTCCATTATCTTACTGGTTGGATATGACAATTCCAATTCTTAAAAATATTTTCCCCCATAGTTTCTATGAGAAAGACAGTGGTTTAGTCTGTGGAGGTATAGTTACCTAAAAATAGTTTAATTCTGATTCTAATTCTTGAATATGTATGTGTGTGCACGTGGATGGGTGTACATGTATGTGTAGGCATGCTTTCATGAGTGTGTACATGCTGGTGGTGACCAGGGGACAGCTATCAATGTTGTCTCCCAGAAGAAGGGATCCACTGGTCTCCACTCGCTAAAGCTGGGGTTATCAGTGTGTCACTGTACCCAACTTTTTAAGATGGATTCAAGTCCTTGTGTTTGCATGACAAACACTTTCTTGTTTTTTAAAGCTTGATAACTATCCTATAATGCTTTATTTCTCAATTTTCCACTATATAAGGTTTAAAATTTAGGGTCCCACATAACTCACACCTGCAATGTCTGCATTAGGATGGCAGAGGCAAGAGGAGCACCTTAAGTTCAGGAGTGTTGTTAGAGTGCCACTTGTTCATCCCGGCCGCCCAGAATCGAAATAATCACACAGAAACTATATTAATTAAATTACTGCTTGGCCCATTATTAGCTCTAGCTTCTTCTTCTTTTTTTTCAAAGGAAGGAAAAGGTTTATTTGGGGAGAAAAGGGTTTATTTCATTTAAGCTTTCACATCTATTTATTTATTTATTTATGATTGCTGCCTCCTCCCTGCCACTGCCTCCCATTTCCCTCTCCCTCCTTCAATCAAGTCCCCTTCCCTCATTAGCCCGAAGAGCTATCATAGCTCTAGCTTCTTATTGGCTAACTCTTACATCTTAATTTAACCCATTTCTGTTAATCTGTGTATCGCCATATGGCTGTGGCTTACCAGCTAAAGTTCTGGTGTCTGTCTCCAGCAGGGCTACATAGCTTCTCTCTGACTCCACCTTTTTCCTCCCAGCATTCAGCTTAGTTTGCTCCACTTAGATCTGTTCTCCTGTAGCTCTGCTATAGGCCCAAAACAGTTCCTTTATTTATTAATGGTAATCACAGCATACAGAGAGGAATCCCACATCACAGGAGCATTGGCATAAGTTCAAAACTAGCCTCGTCTACCAACTTGAAGCCTGCCAGGCAGGTGCGTGGGAGGTTTTATGCATGCCCCTCTTCATAGATGCACTACAACAACATAAAATGAAATGTAGAGGACTTTTGAATCATCCAGGCAGCTTTAAAAAGCAATCGTTGTGAGGCGTCAGAACTCCTCAGCATATTAGACACAGGAATATGTAGGAAACTCCACATTTCAATTATTCCCATTTTATGTGTGTGTGCATGGATATGTATAAGTGTCCCTGTTTGTGTGAGGTGCACATGCATGTACATGGGGTCAAAAGTTGACGTCATGTGTCTTGAAGAACCACTCCTACATTATTATCTGAGACAAGGACTTTCACTACACTTGTGGTTTACTGACTTAGCTAATCGTCTGGTCAACAGGCCTAAGGATTCACCCATTTCTCTCTCCCCAGAGGTTACATGTGTGCAGCCCTGCACCAGGTTTTTTATATGGATGCTGGAAATCCAAACCCAGGCATTCTCAGTTGCCTTCTGCCCTGCCCTCAACTCTCATAGGTCTTAATAGATATAGATGTGTATATTTTATATCTTGATATGTCTTCATAGTTGCTTTAAATATTGAAACATTTGCTTCCAGTGTGTCCCTTTAGTTTGTGTTGTCATTGCTTGCATTTTCTGTACTTCACATAGGAGCTAAAACTTTTGAACCTAGTAATAAGTTGGAGTGCACATGAGCTCATAGCCCCACCCCTTCTTTCATAGGAATGTACCTAACTCACTACATAGCTGAACTGCAGAATCAGGCACAGGAGGGGTATGTTCTATTTGTATTAAATTTGGTTCTCCTGAGTGACAGCCCATCAGTCACCTGCAGGAAACATAAAAATGCTAGAACACCACCCATCTTCTGCCTACCCCCAGACCTCCTAGTTCTTTTTGGATTCTAGTAAACAGGCTAGACCCTAGCTAGGAGGTGCACACACTCTGTCTAATACTCCTACCATGCATGTCCTTCACAGGTTGAAAAAGTAGTCAGCAGGAGCAGGGTGCAGAATGGGAGATGTGGGATTGGCCTGGGAATGGGAGCTTACCTCATCTTTCATGCACCAGGGAAAAAACATAAGTGTGTCATGTCCCTGCCTTCAGCCCACCTCAGCAGCTCTTCCTGAGTCTGCTTTTGAGTGAACTATTACTGACATATACACTTGCGAAAGCGGCTATCCAAAACCTTTGATCTTTGGACGAGGTATGACTGATAACCCTGAGCCTCACAAGCTGTCGAAGAGCAGAGAATGAGCTTCTATGATGTCCTCAGTCCCCAACTGACATCTCTATTATCCTCTGCCCCACAAGGCTCAGAGCACATCACAGAGGAGGTGGCAGAAAGATTGTAAGTGTGAGAGATGAGAGAGATCCTGTGTGGTTCTGTGTCTTCTGGACATGGCAGGGGCATCATTCGCATGAACTCAAGGAGCTGTGGTTACGTCCATGTCCTGCCCAAGATCAAGTCAGTCAGCATTCTACCATGGATGAGGGAGGAACACATCCACTCCCTAGCCCCACCCTGAGGTACTTGTAGCAGCAGATGACTGGTAGTGGAAGGAGAGCCATTTTCCTTCAGAGGTATGGATGTGTTCCTGTGGAAAGTACCACACTCATGTGCACATAGGCAGCGTTAGTTGAACTCAAGGATTTAAGGAAATTAGAAAGAGAACATGTCTTAGTTACTTTCCTACGGATGTGACAGAACACCATGACCAAGGCATCTTGGAAAAGAAACCATTAAACTTAGGAGTTCACAGTTCCCAAGGATAGTACAGTCCATGACTTTCATCACCGGGAGAGGGGCATTGCAATAGTCAGGGAGGCTTGGCTGTAATTGTAGCTAGGAACTTATATCTGATTCATAAGAAGGAGTGAAGGAAAAGAGGGGGGAGGAGGGATCAAGCATGAGTGTGTGAAAAACCATGCTAACTGGAAATGCTGTGGGCTTTTGAAAGCTTAAGTACATGAGCCTATGTGGACCATTCTCATTCAAAGCACTACAGCATGGATTGGGGAAATCTGGGAGAAATTGGAGGCCAGAAATAGGTGGCGAATATAATCAAATTACATGTATGCTATAAAAATACAGTTCAGTGTTATAGAGAAAATGGTAACTCATCATAAATAATTCAACTCCATTTCATAAAATTATATCTTCTTGTTTTCAATTAAGGAAAAATCCAAACTTGGGAGAGTTGGGTCTGCGGTGGTAGACCTAATACAAGGCACTCCTCCATCATCTGTCCAGTGTTTGTCCAGCCAAAGAGGTCAAAAAAGAAGCCTGGAGGATCCGGACTCGGACGTGGTGTTTGTCTGCAAGACTAGGATTCTGAAGAGGACTGTGAAGGCGAAAGTGCAGCCCCAGCAGCGGAGTTGTGTGCCAGCTCAGTCAGTAAACATCAAGGTCGTGGAGCCATCCCAGGCAGGTTTTTCTGCTTTTTCTTTTTTGCCCTCTTTATTCACAAAATGCTTAATAATTTCCTTGTTCTGGAAATAGCATCTGGTAAAGGTTTGGCTCTATTTTCACATTTTTAGCTCACTCTAATTATGGGATGTACATTGCAACCTGTGTTTGCTGGATAGAGTCCCAGTTTCTATTTTTCCCCCGAATTCTCTATTTTGGAAGAAAAGTTAGATTGCTAATATCAGCACAATGTGGAGAATTCAGCCAAGTGATGCTATCCCAAAGAATGCCTGGCTGGGAAGAGACCTTACATTTGTGATGTTAAAGCCATGTATTTTAGATCTTAAATATAGAGTTTAACTTAAATGTACATGTATGTAAAGCTAACATGAAATAAATGTATTTACCTACTGTTTATATGTATACAAACCCTTCTATAGTTTTACATAGTATTTAAGCCCGTGTTTGTGTCCATCTGTTCTGTATAATCTTATTGTGGACGTTTCAGCATATGTACACATGGGACTCCTCCCTCATCAAGCTTACTATAAAACCATTTAATGCTTTGACAGACACATGCGAACTGCCAACTGTGGCTGTTGCTTACGTTTTATCCCCCTATTGTTCAGAGAGAGAGTTTTCCTATGTTTCCCAGGCTTCTCTCCCTCTTCAGCCTCCGAATAGCTGGAAGTAGATTTAGATGCTACTCTACCTAGCTTGTGGTTTGCAACATTTTAAAAGTTTTATTTTTTACATCTATTCATGTGCATGTGTACTTGTGTAGATGTGTACCTTATGGGGGTGGGGACCCACGGGGTCTAGAAGAAGATGTCAGATGCCCTGAAACTGGTGCTATGGGCCATTGTGAACCATTGCATATGTGTGCTGGGGACCAATCTCTGCTCCTGGATGTGAGCAGTGAGGATTCCTAACTGCTCAGCCTCCTCTTCAAATTCTGTATTGGCAGCTGTTTGTGACCCAAGAGCACCAGTGCTTACAATAATTGAATTAAGAATTAGAAGATGTCTTTCCAGGGGGAAAATGTCCCTGTTTTTAGGATAACAGTCAATTAAATTGGTAATGGCAGAGGCTGAGCATTTGGCCCACAAATGAACCCAAAGAATTTTAAGTGGACAAGCAATGGTGACGCGGAGTTGCAGAAAGGAGCAGGAGGATGGCCTTTATAGGAATTGTAACCACGTGAAGTCCTGGAAGGCTTGAGGAAGGGGTTGCATTATCCTAAAAGCAACAAGGACCTAGTAGAGTTTTTTTTCACATAGGAAAGTTGTGTGTCCAGATTGTCTTTCAGAAAGGCTTAGTCTGGCCTAGTATAGAAGAACAGTTAGAAAGTTGGATAGAGAAGTCTCAGATTATGTTATCTCTTTGGCCACATGAAAATGGTCCAAGAGATAAGAAGCCCATAGAGCTGTAGACAGATGCAGGGTTCATCTCCCAAGTGGGAGACCCACTGCTTTGTTTTGCTTATCATGTGTCCCATGTCCCACAGCATCTGGTTAATGCCACTGCTCAGTCTGACCTCTGGGAAGATGTGGGATTCTTCTGCCAAATCAAGGCCATGCACTTTGTTTCTTTGCATTGGCTGCTGGAGACACATGCCGCCATGGGGGAGGGGTGCAGAGTACTGAGGCTGGTTTTGCTCTTTCTCTTTATTTAAGTAGAGCAGTGTTCTATCCAGTGGTTGCCTACATTGTGTACTGATATCAATACCAGGACGGAATGGGTAGAAGTCCCTGTCTGGGACTGGTAACTGGTGCATGGATTCTGTTCCATGTTTATGCTTAATAGAGTCAGTGTGAGCCAAGAAGTTTAGAGGCTGCTCCAGAGGAGAAATCATTAAAGTGTGGTCCAGAATGATGGTGGTGGAGGTAGTTCCATCTTGATGATATGAGCAGAGAGATATGGCAATTGTCTGTGTGAAGGTATCAATCCCCTGGAACTGGAGTTTCCTTGCCAAGAACAGGAGGCACATGGGTGAGCCTAGGTTTAGGGTTGAGGTCTGAAAAGGACTCATGAGCTTGTGAAGTGCCGACACATTTGAGTGTGCGTGGGGGTGAGTGGGGGTGAAAAGTACATGAGAAGAAGGCAGACAGTTAAGGCTGGGACAGTGCTTGTACAGACTGAAGGACTTGCTACTCCTATAAGAAGAGAAACTAGGAATGGTTTTCATCATTAAAGTCAAGTGGGGAATAAGGAGATTCAAAAAGAGCTGGGCAAGAAAGCTAAATTCTATAGGTCTGAAAAATGCTCTTTGACTTAACCAAACTTAGAGGCAGTAGGAATGATATGGGGAAGACTCGCTGCTGGGGGATGAAGGGGGCAAAAATCCAATTGGGACTCATTGACAGATGGAACATCATCAAATTGAGGCAGCATGAAAACTCAACTCTTGAAAACTAAATTATTTTGATTTTGAAAGACATTGTATTTATGGAAACCAAACATGGGGTAGACAAATCAGGAGTTCATTAAATTCTTCATGAGTATTTAGAACAAAGGTAATTATCCTTTTCTATAAAATTGCTATGCGTTGTTAGTTGATCTTTACATGTACTTGCTTGAATGATTTATTTCTTTGCATTTCTTATTGCCTTTTCCCCCCATAGTCTGTGTATTTATATCGTCCATGGCTTGTGATCCTTCTGCCTCTGCCTTCTAGGTGCTGGGTTACCATACCTGAACAATCATATATTTTTGATGCAAGGATCAGTTGAGTTTTTCCTGAATTACCCTGCAGTTAAACAGTCTCTAAGAAATGCTTCAAGTGGCTTAATCTATTCCATTGGTTGATTCCAATTATTGCACAATTTTTGTTACTATTTTAGGTCTCTTCATGGGAAATGAAAAAGAGGCAGAGTGAAAACCTCACGCAGAGATGCAAAGCATCCACTGACGTTCAAACTGGCAGTAGCAATCCAGCCGTAATCCTGGTAAGACTAGCCTCGCTGAGGAATGGCACCTTAAGACACTTTCCTAGTCACAGCATTGAAGGCTCTTTAGATCTGGGTAGCTGAAACATACAGCTCGGTCACATGATGAGGGGGCATGTCCCAGAGCCATTAGCTGTTACCTCTGGCTGCGTGAAGTAGTTAATATATAACTAAACTCTAGCCCATGATCCTTTTCTTTAGCTACCAGTCTGAGAGAACTTTGTTGTATTTATAAATGTGTAAACACTATACATATAATTTGAAAAGCATTTCAGAGCCCCGTGTCCCAATCAAAATCATATGCAATTTTAAATATGGTCTCTTGTCAGAAATTTTAATTCTCTCTTAATTCTCTCTTGATATTTTGGTCCTTATTATTTATTTACTGTTTGTTTGTCTGTCTATTTTGTGGTGCTAGGGACCACTAAGTTACATTAGTCTCTAAAGTATAATTTTGTTTTTGTGTATTTACATCTTGTTTATTTAGTATTCATATATGAATATATTTTCCCCTGCTATACCATTATTTCCCCTTCAATTTATCCACTCTCTCCCCACCATTTTCCCACATGAAATCATGTTTTTGTAATTCCCACCGAGTTTAATTTGTGTGACTGTGTGCACATTGGCTGTACAACCGTACACTAGAGCATGGTTAGCCTTGCAAAAGCCTTATTACTGGAGAAAAATAATTTTAATTCACATTAGCCATCAATAGCCATTAGGTCTTCAGATAAGGTGGAACTTCTTGAGTCCCTTTTACATCTACAATGTGATTTTGCTAATTTGATCTTTTATAAGTCTTCTGCATGAAGGCTTATCCATTGGAAATCCATGTGTGTAACTGTCCTCTCCTGTCTGGCAAAAATTTCTTTGGTGAAGACTCACTCTGACGCCTGGAATCCCTCTTACCACTCTTCTATAATAGTCCCTATGCATTGTGAAAAGTTATTATTTATATGTCCCATGTATACCTGAGCATTCACATCCTCTTATTGACAGAATAAGCAGTGTGTATGCAGGAGGACCGTTCATGTGGGTGTGTACCTGTGTGTTTGTGTGTTTGCATACCTGTGTGTCAGAACATGATTAAAAATTTAATTATATGAGGAGAACTCTCATTTATATGAGAAAACCCCAAGAAAAGAGTCTTGTGACCTTTGTTTCTTCAAAACCACAAAATTATTCTTGGATTGTGACTTTGTGACACCCCCAGGAATAGCAAATAGAAATGAGTTTATAAAGTAGAATTTTGAATTGACTGAAATTAGGTGGCTCTTTGGGAAACACGAGCATGCTTCCCACTCACTCCACTGGGTAATGCATCGTTCTTCTGACACTTGGTATGTAACAGCTATGTATCTTGGCAACTGTGGAATCTCTTTATCTTCACTGAGCCAAATGTGGCAATCCCGTGTTGTTCAGGATTGATTCTGAACAAGAAGAACTGGCCAAGCCATTGACTCTACCTGTGAAGCCTTGTTAAAGACACTGCCCATATGCTATATGGCATCCCTTTATATTCATGAATTGTTTAAATTTTACTTGGTCCAGAGGGGAACATATTTCATCTGACTTTACGTCTCTTCATGAGAACATTATTGAAGCAAGGCACACAACAGGAATATAGGAAGCTTTTATTTAGAAAAAAATACGGAAAATTTCAAGTGGAACTCCATCAATACCCATCTGTCCCCTTTCCACCCTGAGCTATGATCACCCTGACCAGTCTATTTTCTTCTATTTGTGTCTAGTCCCTGCTACTTCGAGGCATCTCCTCAAACATATTGCAACTGATATAAGTCATTAGAAAAGAGAAAGAAATCACATTGACAAAGAGTAACTTATATATGGGAGGCAGGAAAAAACAAAATAAATAATCAAAACAAAACAAACCCCTTAACATCAGTGATAAAGTTTACCAAAATCCAGTCCATCTAGCAAGTAAACACTAAAGAATTTTCAAAGTTAGAAAAGAGGCAGAAGCTGAAAAGGAAGCTGAAAAAGGACTCCGAGCAGTGTTTTAACCACGGAGCTCTGTGACGCTCCGTTTGACACAGCTGCACCTGTGACTGTTAGGGGTCACCGCTTGTTTTGCAGAGACATCAACGTCTTTATCAGCTTGTCATGGAGCTGTTACACCGTCGCCTTTCTAAACCTGGTACAAGCTTTTAGTAAGTGCTTATTCACAAATTAGCTGCGATGTGTTTGTGTGGTCTGTTTGTCAAGTTCTGCTGTTTCATGGGTGTGGGCGTGGTAGGTGTTTAATGTGTGATGCTGTGATCCTAGCAGGGTATTTGTTTCCAAATCATGTAACTAATTAATTTACACAATACATCTAAGCAAGATGAACATTAATTTCTGTTTGGCCATAGGTGGAATAATTGAACTAGGAAATAATTACCTATGAACACTTATCTTCCCGCACTTTCTTTAAGTAAAAAACAAAAAGATTTTTAACACCTAAGATCCTTCACAGTTATCTTTTGATTATTATGAACATGTGTGAATGTGGTGTGTGTGTGTGAATGTGGTGTGTATGTGTGTGAATGTGGTATGTGTGTGTGTGAATGTGGTATGTGTGTATGTGTGTGTGAATGTGGTATGTGTGTGTGCCCGTGTGTGTGTACACACACATGCACACACATATGCGGACACAAATGTTTATGCCTGTTTTATTTGGATGCTCTGCTTGTTGACTGTAAAGGGCGAAAGTAGTCAGTGCCAACAGTGGTAGAAGAAGTTGTTGCTTAAGGAAGAAAAGTTAACTACGACAACAGAAACCTACCCTTCACCTACCATGTTACTATTTATTATTTTGGTGAGCTTAGTTGAGTGTGGACCTAGGGCCTTATTCACATGTATAATAGACTCAGATATGTGGTATGTTCTGCTCACCCAGAGAGTCCTTACCTCATGCTTGGCTATGCTGTACTGTACTGGTTTCATGTTGTCTGGGGAACAATTTCATTCTGATTAGCATACTTTTCCTTGGCTGTGTGGATAATAGTATTCACCTGCCTTTAGAAAAGATGCGTGTTCATATTTGGGCACTCCATTTTCCTCCTTTCTGACTTTGTCCACCTCACTGGCTCTTGTATTGACAGTTGTCTAAGTTCAAACAAAACACTGATAGCATCATTTGCCCCTCATTTCCCCTTGTGATTTCACTGTTGCTTATTATTTCAGCCATGGAATCATGTTTTCTCCCAAATCTCCTCGCGGCTGCATCTCAGTATCCTAACAGTATCGTCTATTATCCCCAGTTCTGCCTTTTTCCTGTCCTGAAATATTTTTTCTTTCTTTTAATTGAAAATGGATTTTCCCCCACACAATCTTTTCTGATTATAGTTCCTGCCTCCCAACTCCTCCCTGTCCCTCCCCTCCCATCTAGGTCCACACCCTTTCTCTCTCTAGTTAGGAAACAGACATCTAAGGAATAATAAGACAAAACACAGAGAAACTAGAATAGGACTAAACAAACCAACAGGAGAAAAAGAACCAAATTAAAAGCATGGGAACACAGGTATATGTAGAGACACACACATTTGCACACAAAGGAATCCCTTAAAAACATAAAAGCAGAAGCCATGATGTCTACGCAAAGGATCTGTAAGGTTAGAAAAAGCTCAGCCACAACGTTGTGAGACAAGGAACTTACAGAGGTGATGTGAGTCTGTTCAGTGTTGGTCATCTACTGTTGGGCGTGGCCCTGACCTGAGGAGGGATTTTCATTGTACTCCTTCTCTTATGCTCTCTATGTGTCACGTGGAACATGCGCCCAAGGTCTTGGGCTCATTGCCTTGTTTGCAGAGGCTTCGGCTTCGGGCTGTGTAGACTGTCACCACTGCCACAGCACTTTTTGAGTTTTGACGTTAATTTTTGCTTGGCCTCTCAGCCATTGGAGGCCATTCATTTTCTGAGACCATGCAATGAACGTGTTCTTTGTTCGACCTTGCACATCATTCAGAACTGTGGAAGTTTCCAACTGGGACTCAGTAAGCTTAAAACACTTTCTAGACACTAAAAGACTGCCTTGAAGATAATGAAATGAAAAATTTTCCACAAAGCATCTTGATCTTCTTCCATATGCACTAGTTAGCCTCCCAGTCAGATCGGTGTAGGACCCTTCATCCAAAGTTCACCAAACTTTTTTCATTATTCTCGACAATTCTGTTTAGCATGGGAATCATTGTCCAACAACTTAGGGAAACTAGTGTGATCCAAATTTATCATCTTTGTCCCTGTAAAGATGAACTGTTCTCACATTCTGGTGTGTGTGTGTGTGTGTGTGTGTGTGTGTGTGTGTGTGTGTGTATGTGCGCGCGCTCGCGCACCAAGGCGTGTGGGTGGTAGATCTCAGTGTGAGTGCATCTGAGTGTTTTACCTGAATCAGTTTCCTTATCTGTGTGGCCAGGATGAAATCTGATGGATGTTCTTCCCCTGTGTCACTTCATCTAACCTTGATAGCCCGAGGAGGAGTCTTTTCATTCTCGCTTCACAGATGAGGACAATAAAAGGTCTCTCATAGTCACACTGCAGGAGGTGGCCACACTGAGCCCCAGCTGTCCAACGACAGCTCCTTCTTCTTGAAAGGCTCTTTGTGACATTTTCTTTCATCTATCATCACTAACTGTGGTAACTAATCAGTTGTCACATCAGCCTCTTCCACTTAGATCATCTGAGATATGCCAAACTTCTTCACTGAAACTTGAGGATTCCAGGAAATGCTCATTCAGTATATTTGTTGACATGGAAGAATTTTGGGCTAGATGGCTTTCAGAGTTGTAGAGATGAAAATATATAGGCCAGAGTCTTGACTCGACTTTAAGAGCCAAAACCATGTAAAACTATCTGTAATGTAGTTATATAACTAAACACACACACACACACACACACACACACACACACACACCAAGATGAAATCTTGCCATTGGTATCAACATGCATAGAACTGAAACATTAAATTATATGAAACACACACCAGGTCCCAAATAATA